CCAACTGCCAAGCAGCTAGCCGACATTGGCTACAAGACCTTCTCCACCTCCATGATATTACTTACTGTGTATGGGGGATACCTCTGCAGTGTCCGAGCCTACCGATATTTTCAGCGGCGCAGCTTGCGACGCCAGGATGCAGAAGAGCAGAAGACTTCAGGAGTCCTGTAGAGATGCAGAGGAGCCTGAGGCAAGCTATGGAAGGACCTTACCTTCAATCATTTCTGGGTCAGGATTACCTGGGCCTTGATGATTTTCAAACTCTACTAGAAGAAAATGTTGATGTTTTCCCTGGTATTGACAATTAGAGGGGACTTTTGAGTCACAACAGGAATGGGGGACAGAGGTGTACCTACAGAAAATAAAATATTTTATTATGTCTGAAAAAAAAAAAAAAGAGCTGCACTGCCAACCAGAAGGCATGTGGTTTGAATCCACCAGTGGCTCTGACAGAGAAGGATGGGCAATGTCCTCCCATGCAATTTACTGACTCTGAGAACCCATTGGAGGAACAGCTATCAGTTGGTTCCCACTTGAAGGTTCATAACAATAACAAGAACAAAAATAACAAGAGAGACTATAAGAAATCAGAGAAATAAAAAATTGAAATAATCACAGTCTTATGGTAACAGCATGGTCTGAGTGTGCAGATTCAGAAGTTAAATGCAAAGGGATAACCTGGGGAGTCAGGAGAGACCCCAGGAGAAAGTTCCACTCCTTCCTAAGGATCCTTAAACAGCAAGAGAGCAATTTTCGAAAGACTTAGAGAAAAGTACAGACTGCATATAGGTAAGAATTTGCGAATGTTATTATTAGGAATTCATTACAAATTAGTTTTTATACTTTAAGAAAAAAGTTTTCAGAGGCAGCTGGAATGGGACCTAAGAGATGCTCTGCTGGAGCTGTGTTCCTTCCTAATTCTCCATTTTCCCCTTGTCACCTCCCAGGCTGTGATGGATTCCTGCGAGAACTCTCTGCTGTTGGTGAAGCCCATTATGACTGTGTTCAAGTTTGCTCTTGTATTATTCCATCTGGTGGCTCCCCAAACCACTTTCCTTTTTTACTCTCCTTGTAAATATTTACATAAGAAGTTTTCTTGCAATGGCAGGATCCTACGTTGGTGGGTTGGCGTAAATAGCCTTGATGTGTTTTATTCCTTTTACTAACAACTTGCTTAAGTGGATTCCCTCCCGACTCATTAAAACATCCTTTCGTTTTAATAACATCATCAGAAACAAAATAGCAGTAGAGGGAAAAATAAGTTTTCAATGTACAGTGACAATCTCTCAGCTGCTTGGTAGCTGATAATAATGGTTGTTATGAGAACTGGTGATTCTCGGTAATGGCACAGATGTAGGAAGGTTTCAAAAAGCCTCTTTATGTAAGACAAAGATCCATTGCATGTTCTCAGTTGACTTAAATCAGATAACTGAACTAGAAGATCAAGACCTAGTTCTCAAACCTCAGACACTAGTTGATAGTGCCTCCTTAGGGTATTCTCTTCTAGTCTCTGTCTGCCTTGCTGGACAAGTCTGTCCTAACTTGTAACTTTAGCTGAGACTCCTCCACAAATAACAGCCAGATCAACTTCTTTAGCTTTAACCTTTCTTCCCATCCCGAATTCTATTTTCAAACGTCTCCAAATGTTCTGAACTTCTCAACAAGATTGTCATGCATACTTTAACATGATAAAAGTTAATCTCTTCTCCATTGATTTAGCCCTCCTTTGTCATTTATGAAAATACCCTACACTGCCACCCAACTTTGCATCATTCTCTCAGATGACTAGATCCTCAATCTAACATCCTCAAAATTGCTTTTGATTCCTCTCCCTTCTTTGTCTCTATGTGAATGAATTCCTGGGTGCTGTGGTCACTATGAGTCGCAGTCAACTACATCACACATAACAGCAACAACAACACTGATATTAATAAGAAATTCTGGTGGCACTGTGGTTATGGCATTCATCTGCTAAGCAAAAGATCAGCAATTCAAATCCACTTACAGCTCCATGAGGGAAAGATGAAGTTTAGCAACTGACTTTAAAAGAGGCTGTGATACCAGGGATTGTATTGCTCATGTCAAATGAATGTTGGCAGACAGCAGGGAATATGAGAAGAATGTTTACAGTTATTTTATAGACTATGCAAAGGCATTTAGCTATGTGGATAATAACATACTCTGACTAATCTTGAGAAGAATGGGAATTTCAGAACATTTAATTAGGCTTATTTGAAATATATACCTAGTACAATAGATGTTGTTTGAACAGAGCAAGGGAATGTTCATGGTTTAAAATTGTGAAAATGTGTGCATCGGGGCTATATATTTTCTCCATACCTATTTAATCTGTATGCTGAGCAAATCACTAGAAAAGCTTGACTTTATGAAGAAGAATGTGGCATCAGGAATGGAGGACATTAACAACCTACATTATGCAGATGACACAACCTGGCTTAATGAAAGTGAGGAAGACCTTAAGCACTTGGTACACAGCATCAAGAACTACACCCTTATTAATATCAGTGTTGTTGTTGCTGTTATGTGTGATGTAGTTGACTGTGACTCATAGTGAAGCTGTGGTATATTCGCACAATGGAATACTATGCTGCATTAAAAAATAAGGAACTCATGCAATATTATTCAAAATGGTTGACTCTGGAGAACATTATGCTGAGTGAAATATCCCAGTCACAAAAGGACAAATATTACATGATGCCACTGGTGTAGAGTGGGACTGTCCTTGGGGTTGGGGAGAGACTGAGTAAGATGGGTTCAATAATGTATACTGCACTGAAACAGAGGAGGGAGAGAACCGTTTAAAAGAGAGATATAACTGGGTATTTCTGTCATCACAGGAGACTAGAGCGAGGGCTACATGGTGGAGGGGACCTGGGGGAGGGTTTGTAAAACAATGAAAGAATCTTTTCTTTTACTTCTCCATAATTTTTGGACTCATGTACTTATAACTTGTTAGTCAAATTTGTGTCTTCTAGGTTGCAACACCCCCATGATACATCTTCAAGGATATGAACATGTACGGCCAAGCACAATCAATAAGAGTGCATCTAAATTCCAAAATCAATTTCCATAATAGTCTATGTGTTTCCTACTGCCAAAGGGGCCCTTTAGAGTAGTGAGAGAAGATCTTCACCCTGAAACCCACAGCGTCCCTTTTCAGCAGGAAGTAGCTAAGAGAATACGCCATCCCCTTTTCCTTATGACTCAGGGTGAAGTCTCTCTCAGGGAGGAGTGATAGGGAATGGCAAAGGATACACTGGCAAAGAAGATTAATCAGAACTGGCTTTGGCAAGCACTGTGGCATTTGGACAAGAACAAACTGGGAGGAGGGTAGAGAGAATAGTGCAACAATGAATGAGTGGAAGCCCAAAATCTCTGTAAATGTTTATGAAAATTAATAAAATATAATTATAGAAAAAAAAGAACTACACCCTTCAATACAAGTTACATTTAAATGTCAAGAAGACAAAAGTCTTCACCACTGGACTAATAGGCAATTTCATGATGTTGTTGTTGTTCTTATGTGCCATTGAGTCGTTTGTTACTCATAGCGACTCTATGTACAACAGCCCTAAACCTTGCTCTATCCTGTGCCAATCGCACTGCCTCTGACACACCTATCCCGATTACCCCAGTCACTGAATCAATCCATCTCATAGAGGGTCTTCCCCTCTTGCACCATCCCTCCACCCTCCCAAGCATGATGTCCCTCTCCAAGGACCTGTCAGTCCTTGCAACATGCCCAAAGTACGTCAGATGAAGTCCCAGAATCCTTGCCTCCAAGATATTGACATTATCAATGATTTCATCTTGCTTGAATCCACAGTCAACACCCTTGGTATCAGCAGTCAGAAGATTGAAGCATATATAACATTGAGAAAGTCTCCTGTCAGTGATCTCTGCAGATTCTTGAAGAGAAATGATGTTAGTTTCAAGAATAAGGTATGCTTGATTCCAGTCAGTCTTTCCAATGACTTGGTATATATCTGAAAGCTGGACAATGAATAAAGATGACAGGAGGAGAATTGATACATTAGAGTTGTAGTGTTGGAGAAGAGTGCTGAATATCACATTGACTGACAAAAACCCCCAAACAAATATGTCTTGGAAAAGTGCAACTAGAATGTTCTTTGGAGATAAACATAGTGAAACTTTGTTTCATATATTCTGGACATTTTAGAAGAGGCTATTACTTGGAAAGGGACATCATGTTTGGAAAGGTGGAGTGTAGGAGAAGGAGAAAAATAGTCTCAGTGGGATGGATTGATACAGTTTCTGTGGCAATGGACTCAACTGTGTCAAGGATGATAAGAATAGCATAGGCTAAGACAGGCTTCAGATCTGTTTTTTAGGGTCTCTATGAGTTATACTCAACTCAGTGGCACTTAACAAGCACAACAACAAGTGTTATTTGATGACTGTGAAACACGATCATCAATTGCTTATGAACAAGATCAAATTGAAGTGGAAGAAAAATAAACAAGTAAACAAGAACCAAAATACAATCTTGAGTCTAGCCCACCTGAATTTTGAAACCATTTCAAGAATAGATTTGATGCATTGAACAATACTGACCAAAGCCCAGGTGAGCTGAGATGATATCAAGACTATCATCCATGAAAAAGCAAAATGTCATTTCAAAGGCAGGAAAGAGAAAAAAAATTAATACAACAACAAAAATAGATTTCAGAAAAGATCATGAAAATGGCACTTGAATGTAGAGTTCAAAACAAAGAGAAAAAATGCTGAAGTAAAACGGATGAGTAGAAGATTTCAGACGGCAGCTTGAGAAGATAAGACGTATTACAACACAATGTGCAAGAGCTGGAGTCAGAAAACCAAAAGTGAAGACATGCTTGACATTTCTCAAGCTGAAAGAATTCAAGAACAAGTTCAATCTTTGAGTTGTAATACTTAAAAGATTCTATGGGCAAAAGAATTAATGATATGTTGTCGTTGTTGTTATGTGCCCTCGAGTTGCTTGCGACTCATAGTGACCCTATGTACAACAGCCCTAAACTCCGCTCTGTTCTGTGCCAATCGCACTGTCTCTGACACTCCCATCCCAATTATCCCAGTCACTGAATCAATCCACCTCATAGAGGGCCTTCCGCTCCTGCGCCTTCCCTCCACCCTCCCAAGCATGATGA